CTGTTTGTGATGAGCTTTGGTTCATCATGTGACTTTCTCATCACCACCAGTTTTTGGTGGTTATCGGTGCATTACAATGGTTCAAAACAGATATTAGTACTTCAATATGTTGGTTTATTAACATTAGATCAGTTAATGATATACGGTATTTTATTGTGAATTTAAGATAAGTCTGTAAAACCTAAAATGTAAAATGCTGCTACCATATTTTTTACGGTGAAGTTCTGGCAACCACAGCTGGCGGTATTTTACTGTAAATGTCACCGATTTTTTTACGGTGTGTGCTTAAATATTAAAATTGACACTTTTTACATTTCCTAATACATTAGGCTAGTTTTATAGTTATGAGCACTATTCATCAGTGCTTGTTGTACTTAAGAAAAAAGGTTGTTATTATAATTCCCAGTAGAATAATTAAGCCCCGTCCTACTGTTTTCTCACTGAATATGATGTTTTCCTCACATTACAGAAATCAAAATGATTGTAAACTTGCTTCATGTCGACTTAAATAAAAATGTATTGGAATTGAGCCTCTTCCTCAATTTTTGTGAGGCCTCATCCGAGAACTACAATAATGACATATTAGGTACATTGGTTTTGATATTTAGTACACTAATTAATCTTTTTTCCCCCTCTAGTGCTTATCAAGTGGTGGTTCAAGAGAAACGAAAGCAGAAAGTTCGCCGAGCCACTGATGTGTTGGAGTGTTTCTCCATTCCTGTTAGCTTCAGAAACGCCTCCATCTTGAATTCACCTCACTATTTTGCTGCTGAACTCCCCCCTGTTAGCCTTGCTGTAGTACAGCCCTTTACTATAGGAGACAACAAGACTTATAATGGCTACTGGAACGCACCCCTGTCACCAGCCAAAAGCTACAGCATTTACTTTCAGGCCTTGAGCAAAGCCAACGGGGTGAGTATTTCATTTACTGTTTATTTCATATACCAATCTAATGTTCTCGATAACGGTTGACCCTTAAGTATTGATTAGTAAATCTCCCAAAACCTGGCTGGGTCATATTTCACCCCAAAATCAAACTGAATGAAAAAATTTTAAAAATATAAAAAAGTATATTTTGCACAGGAAAATGGAACATTTTTATCTTCATGACAAACGTCTCGGTTACTTGTGTAACCCTCGTTCCCTGAAGGAGGGAACGGAGACGTTACGTCAGTCGTGACTGACGAATTGGGATTTTTTTTTTTTCCTTTTATATATTTGCGTAGGCCCCGAGGACAGCTGCACGCCAGTGCGTCCGTACCGAGGGTCCCCTTGGCCAGGGAGTAAAACAACTGGCAATGGGACGTGTCCGGGGAGGCAAACAGGTCTACCTGCTTTGCGGGCAGAGCTGCATGGCAATAGCCCGCTCCACGGGGGGGATGTCCACATACCCTTGGGCCGTCCCACCGTCAAGGGTGGTGAGGACGGAGGAGGCACCAAGTCTGTTTCGGGCAGAAAAAGGTGCCTTCCAAGACTTAGTAACCTCCTCATGCACTTCCGGGAAGAATGGAACCGGAGGCGGCTGCCGACGACCGGCCTG